AACTCGGCCCACCGCCATGGTCAACTCGGCCCAACTCGGCCCACCGCCCTGGTCAACTCGGCCCAACTCGGCCCACCGCCATGGTCTCTGAAGAGACGTCTCACCTAGCTTGTTTGGGGCTAATTACAACACTTCAAGTATGGAATGATATCAAACATGTGCTAAGAAAGGGTTCTTTAACGTGGGTTCTTTAACGTGCGTGGGGTCTGGCTCTCTCCAAACACGGGACCTCCATTTAACGTAGTATCCGAGGGACGTCCCTAACCATAACCAGGTTCTCGTTTTCACCTGAGTGAAGTGAGGAAAGTCGTGTGAAGTGCCTTTCCAATCGCACAACATCGAGGCAAGTTGTAAATTGATGGATTAGAACCAAGGACCTATGGGTTCTCGGCCAAACACCCATCCATTACGCCAAATAATCCGACGCGTTAGGTTCGGCATCTTGAAGAATAGCCTGTGCTTTTACCTCTCGACCTTTCCAAACTTCTTAAGGACTTTACACAGAAGACGCGTTGCTAACACAACCATGAGACATCCTTTAAATCTTGACCACATAACAAAACGCCCTGATTTCAAGCGAAGTGTCAGCAGATGTAAATCTTCGACGCAATGCCTTACAGGATTCTTTTATTCTGAATATGACAGGTAAAACACCCTTATTAAGAATATTCCCTGCTCCACCTGATGATCGTCAATCCTACAACCATGAAGTCCATGTTGTTTGTCTTGCTGAGTCTGATGACACGCTGTTGCCTCGTTACAGGTAAGTCATTTTGTTTTTGATTTATTCATCAGGGGTGCCAAAGAATTAATACGAATTTTACGGAATTCATGATCCTTTACCAGGAAACATACGAATTTTACGAAATATATACGACCCATTACTAGAAACATACGAATTACGATGAATTCCTTAAAATTCGTATTAATTCTTTGGCACCCCTGTTCATACACTTTTATGTACTAACTTAATTCTTAACTATCTTAACTTATCTACTTGTTTGTCTATTAAGTTGTGGGAAACCTTACGAAAGTCGCTGTACTTTTGTTTCTGCAATAAAGTTAGTTTGAAATGTAATTGATGGAAGACATATTTAACATGAATGTGGATTTTGTTGTACGCAGCACAAGTCACTACGTGTTTTCCTGTCACAACCACTGTGTGTACAACGACTCCTGGGCCGATTACAACCATCGGTACTACTACCGGTGTTCTCACCACCACTGCTGTTACAACCACGGCCGAGGAGACAACTACGGCTGCCAGTACAACTACAACTGACGTACCGACGACCACAGCCAGTACTACAACTGACGTACCTACAACCACAGCCAGTACAACTGACGAACCAACAACCACAACCAGTACAACTGACGAACCAACGACCACAGCCAGTACAACTGACGAACCAACAACCACAACCAGTACTACCACAGCCAGCACTACAACTAACGTGCCAACAACTACAACCAGTACTACAACCGGGGTACCGACAACCACAGCCAGTACTACAACCGAGGTACCGACAACCACAGCCAGTGCTACAACCGAGGTACCGACAACCACAGCCAGTGCTACAACCAAGGTACCGACAACCACAGCCAGTGCTACAACCGAGGTACCGACAACCACAGCCAGTGCTACAACCGAGGTACCGACAACCACAGCCAGTGCTACAACCGAGGTACCGACAACCACAGCCAGTGCTACAACAGACACACCAACAACCACAGCCAGTACTACAACTAACGTGTCAACAACAACCACCGCCAGTACAGCGTTAATTGACGTGACAACTACTTCTGACACTGCAACAACTGATGACCAGCCTGTCACTACTGCAAGCACCGTGCCAACTACCGTTGTCAGTATAGCTACTACTGCCGTGCTATCTACCATCAGTGACACGACAGCAGCAGGCTTTCAATCTACCACCGCCAGTACAACTTCTGCTGATGGACCATCAACAACAGGAGATGTGCCTACAGACGTGACGACATCTACAACCACTGGTGCAACCGGACCGTCTACCATCACTGGTACAGTTGCTCCTGATGGAACATTTGCAACAGCAGCTGTGACTGCAGTTGACAGCACGTCTACCGCTGCTGGCATGTCTACTACTGCCATCACGCTCCCCTCGGATGCCACGCCCGCTGGTTTGGTAAGCTGGCTCACTTGTTGTTGTGAACTTTGCTAAAAAGAATATGTTGTCGGTTCACTTTGTTCCATGATTGTTCCATGTTTCACCGAGGCATAATCAAGTAGATGAGTTTAAATGTCTCTTTAAACACTTTGGCATAACTAAGGAAGATGCTCTTGGATGGTTATGATATTTGGTGTGTGGGTAGGTGTCGAGATGACACGGTCGATCGTACGGGCCTCCTAGCGGCTTCCTATGGCACTGTAGCGAAATTTCATGGGCTGTCACGAGATGGTCATGATTTCGGCTTTTCTCTTACATCTCGGTGTGTTTTTGTTGGAATATTTGAATTACGATAACTCAAGGCAAGACGAAGGGATTTTCCTTGAGTAATCTCATTCAAACTTATGTTGCTGTTCGATCTGCACACATGTACAGGCACCCGACTGTATCGTCTGCAGTGCCACTAACACCTCTGCTATGAATGATTCCTGCCTAATCGGACCGATGATGACGATGTCACAGCCGTGTCCTGTTGGAGTCTGCATCGTAAGTAATAATCCCGTCAGATATCTTACAGTTTACATTTCAATGTGGTTCATGTCCATCTTGTAATGTCTATATTTCCCAACGAACAATAGAAATGTTGTGGTTTTTGGTGACGATATGACCAATATTATATCCAGTCATCATTCCTGTACGTTGTTTGCCTTCATGTTGGTACAGTACAACTGCCTTGAAATCATATTCATAATCCGGAATATTGTTACACACACACACACACACACACACACACACACACACACACACACACACACACTCAAACCTTTTTGTTTGCCTGTTTCTTTGTTTGTTCTTTAATCAGGATCTCCATTAGTGTAAATTAAATTCCACATTATTCTTCCTGGAGTCCGCAGTGAATTCGAATCACCAACTTTCAGACAAGAAGTATTTCTGTATCTGTATGGCCGGTATAACCGCCTTTCGGCGTAACACACCAGCTATTTGGACTATCGCACACCTGGCATGTCCCTACTCCTTTTCGAAAGATGTGATGGGTTCTTTAAGTGCGTTAACCTGTTCTCTGTACTGAAGTCTATGTACTGATCATGAATCCACAGACAATCCTACGGGAAGACACAGACGGCGCCATCATTATCTTTGAGCGCAAATGTCACAGCGGCGCCTGTACCGACGACAACAAAGACGGCGTCTTCTCCCGTGACGCGGCCGGCGGAGAGACAGAGTACGAGAAGTGCTGTGACGACTCCGCTGACTGTAACGTCATCAGCTACAACCAGCTGAGAGGCGCAGCGGACAGGGCGGTCACCAACATGGCCGCCATCTTGTTTAGCGCCATGATCCTCCTCCTGGCTCTGTAAACATCAACCATTGAATGAGCTGACGTGCATAAAGTCTTACATTGCACAATATAGCTGCTAGTTCAAGTTTTTGTATCAGATTGTCTGGTTTTACCTAAATCCTGTGCATTTAAGGAGAAACAATGAGATGTTCACAAAACCACTTATATTACTGTTTATCAAGAATATTTCAAAATAAGTTTGGATATTTGTGTGATGTACATACATCAGGGCACATACGTGTCATAGCACTGTACTACTGATTTCGTTAGCTCGCCCGTCAAACCTCTCCCAATTCAGGGACTACCCTCTCACAGCTCTGCATGGGGTGCCGTGAAAGTTGCCAGCTGAACCTACATTTGTACATCACAGCGAAAACATACTCCACGTTGCTACAAACCATGTTGTTTTTAAAAGTCTCACCATTTCATCATCTTAAGCGAGTTGTTTTTGTTACGCCCTTTTGTGGAAACTTTTGACGAATCATAAACAAAAGGTCTGTCAAGCACTGCCCTTATGTTGTGATGATGTGCATTCATCGGAAAACATTTCGTTACAAACATTTTTTTGCCTATTTGATACAGGAACAGTTTAGTATATAACTGCATAAATTATGCTTTACTGTGTTGGTTTTCTGTTTTAATTTTTTTAATGTGACATTAAATAAATCACATTGAACGTAGCTTGGCAATGTGTACCTCTTGAAAACTCTTCGTTCTGATATCGTATCGTCATGTAGCTTACCTGGCCTGTAAATAACACACCGGTATGTTCCTCGGAATCTTGGGGTTCTTCTATCCGGTGCAGTTTTGGCCTCTTGAAGACTAGACTGTGCTTTTACCTCTAGACCTTTCCAAACGTCTTAAGGACTAGTCGACTTCACTCAGAAGACGCGTTGCTAACACAATCCTAGGGGGTCTTTTAAATCTTTACCACATAACAAAACGCCCCGACTTCAACAAGCGAAGCGCCAGCAGACCGATACGCAGGTATGTTTTATCTTCTACTCGCAACGATGAAGTGAACAAAAAATCTTAACTGATTCCAAATGTATTTGGGTTAAGGTAGTCTATATAGTATATGTATATTTAAGTAATAATAAGTAGTTTTTAACTTTTTAATTTGAGCGATTGCTGTTGTGCATTAGCTCATTTAGGTATAACCTGACTGCGTAAAGTAAATATTCAATGAGCTGGAATATCATACCTCATTGAATGTTAGGCATTAAGATGAATACGCCAAAAAAGCAGTTACTCAAGCAACTGGATATGGCTTTGGAAAAGGTCAGCAGTTTCAGGTAGACTCTTCAATATGATTATCAGGACTACTAGTTCGACCAGACTTAATTTGTGTAACATAAAAGTACATTAAAACTATCCACCGGTTGCTTCAGACTAAGGTCGAAGTTTTTAGTAGTTAGTAGTTCCTGGCAGTGCAATCCGACTTCGCTACGGCAAGCATTCTCAGACAAGCACATCATAGAGACATACTAGATACATTTGTTACCTCCGGGGAAGGAGATATCCTTCCGCGAGGAGGTTTTACTATGGTTCGAAACATTTCTGTCAGCAGCTGTTTCTCGCGATCGGCTGGACGGGTTTGTCTGTGGTTCGGTATACGTATTGCTATTGGGCTGCAGATGATGCAGAACGTTTTTGTTTAATTGCATATGTGTTTATGGGCGTCGAAATAAAATGTTTTTAAGTGCTCCGGACACCCCCGCCATGCTGAAAATGGAATTTACCATGTTGTTAAGGAATGGGGAGGTTGCAGTTTTGGGTCTTAGCATTTAAAAGGGGTCAAACAGAGGGGTGTCTGGTTCCGATAAAAAATTTGGGTGACGGCGCAGCAATGACGGCGGGGGTAATGGCGCGGGTGACGGTGCAGGCTGTCAGACACGTTAATCAACAGTCCATACCGAACCAACCGTCAGTAGCCATCAAACACATACAAACATATTACGCACATAACTTACATACTACACACAAACAAATAACCTAAACCAATAGAATACAAAAAAAACCCGGAGGTTTGAAATCTACGATTTTCCTTGTTTACGTCTGTAACAGGAAATACACCGTCATTGAGAACATTCCTGCTCCATCCGATGAGTGTCGATCCTACAACCATGAAGATCCTGGCGTTTGCCTTGTTGGGTCTGATGACACACTATTGCCTAGTCACAGGTACGTGTTCTTATTTTGTCTTAAAGCTTACTTGAAGAGTTTCATTCTCAAGAAAAGATCGTTCACTTTATACTGTCAGTTATATATGCAGACAAGGCGTTGGAAACTTTGTCAAAAACTTCGTCAGTTTCAATTGATTGAAGATCTGTCAGCTGATATGACTGGGGACTTTGTTGTACGCAGGGCAACCAGACCTACCGCCAGATCCAACACCATCACCATCATCAACAACAACACCAGCTGATGTAACAGATGACTACAGCGCGAGCGGCGAAGATGATGATGATGATGTAACTACTGTTGACAGCACCTATACAGCTGCTGGTGTAACTACTATTGACAGCACCTATACAGCTGCTGGTGTAACTACTATTGACAGCACCTATACAGCTGCTGGTGTAACTACTGTTGACAGCACCTCAACACCTGCTGGTGTGACTAATACTGCCACCATGCTCCCCTCGGGTGCCACGCCCGCTGGCTCGGTAAGCTGGATAATGCTGTGAACTTTGCTTAAAAGAATATGTTTTTGGTAACGTGTGGTTCACAAAAAATTTGTTGTGGTTGTGGATGAACAGCATCACCTAGGCATAGCAAAGGAGGTCAAATGTCTCTTTAAACACATTGGCATCATTTAGGAAGATGCTTCTGGGTGGTTATGACATTTGGTGTGTGGGTAGGTGTCGAGATAAGGAAGGACAAGGTTGTTCCTATGGGCTAGTAGCTCCGAGCGGCTTTCTATGGTACTGTAGCGAAATTCCATGTGCTGTCACGACATGGTCATGATTTCGTCTTTTCTCGGACAAGCAGGTGTGTTTTCGTTGGAAACTTTCAAACAAGATGACTCAAGGCGAGATAAAGGAATGTTTCTAGACTACTCTCATTCATACGTATGTTGTTTCATTTCCTGTCCGATATGTATACAGGCATCGGACTGTTTCGTCTGCAGTGCCACTAACACCTCTGCTGTGAATGGCTCCTGCCTCATCGGGCCGATGATGACGATGTCACAGCCGTGTCCTGTTGGAGTCTGCATTGTAAGCATCCTGTCAGATACGAGTATCTCACAGTTCACATTTCAATGTGGTTCATCTTGTGATGTCTATATTCCCCAGCGAACAATAGAAATTTTATTAGAGGTCTACCAGTGGGGTTGGGGAAGAGCAGGGAGGTCTACCAGTGGGGTGTGGGGAAGAGCAGGGAGGTCTACCAGTGGGGTTGGGGAAGAGCAGGGAGGTCTACCAGTGGGGTGTGGGGAAGAGCAGGGAGGTCTACCAGTGGGGTTGGGGAAGAGCAGGGAGGTCTACCAGTGGGGTGTGGGGAAGAGCAGGGAGGTCTACCAGTGGGGTTGGGAAAGAGCAGGGAGGTCTACCAGTGGGGTGTGGGGAAGAGCAGGGAGGTCTACCAGTGGGGTTGGGGAAGAGCAGGGAGGTCTACCAGTGGGGTTGGGGAAGAGCAGGGTGGTCTACCAGTGGGGTGTGGGGAAGAGCAGGGAGGTCTACCTCTAATGTTGTGCCCGGAAAAAAAGTGACAAAGGGGTTCCGGTGGTTCATGTTTGAGTTTACATTTCTCATAATCTGCTGCAAAATGGTATTAACTACTAACATGGCTGGAAAGTGTAAGAAGTGGCGTGTTTTGGATGAAAATTGATTTCGGGCCCGAGGCTTACTTCTGGGTGTCCTTCCGCCTTCAGTGCGGTGCTTCGGTTTGACCTAGATATGCGTTGTATGCGTTCTGGGGTGCTGTCCCTATGCCTCACGCGACGGGCTATTGTGATAATCTCAGTGTTAGGATTTTCTTTATACTTTTCTTAATAATACATTAGGGTTTTCTCTTCCCTACCATATACTAGTAAGTCATATTAGTGGCTAAATTCTGGGTGATGGGTCTAATTCCACGTGAAAATGGCCAATTTTTGGCATCATTTTTCATCAAATCAAAAAATTATTTTCCCCCATAAAATTTACAAAATGTGAGAGGTGAAAGAAATTGAAATTCTATTGTTCTCGTAGCTAGAGCGATATCCTTCATTTGCAAACCGTGTTTTGGCTCAAGAGGTATTTCCTAAAAAGAGACGGTCGCTAGAGTTGAGGGTATGCAGAATCGAATTGAGACCCAAAATAAACTGGGGTGTGCCCCCTTAAAGCTTGAATATACTGCTCCTAGTTCTTATTTTCTTCTCCATATTTCCATGGAGGTAAAAATCATCGAAGACAGTCATCAATATTCTGTGTTGAAAACGCCAAAATTTGCCCAAAATGATGCCTTTCACTTGCATAGCAAGTTATAGTATTAGCAACAAAGGCCTCACCTGTTCGGTCCAAAAATCACATGGCCGAAGGTAGCCGCGGCGACTGTTGCAGGGCTTCTCTTGCTTGCAGTCCTTTACATTAGCCCTAACAACAGGGCTAATGTAAAAGACTGCAAGCAAGAGAAGCCCTGCAACAGTCGCTGCGGCTAGGCCGAAGGCTACCTTTAAGTTAAAACGTATTACCTAGGGCATTCGTGCAATTATTGCAATTATTTTAAAGCGATCGTAGTACTTACATAAATGGATCATAGTACTTACACAAATGCCTCGACTCCTGAGGCGTCGCAAAAAAAAATACACCACTCCAGACTCTTTCATTTTCTCAATATATTTCAACATTGCCTGTTGAAGCAGAAGAACAACTTTTACAGTGGAACTTAACGCTTAGCCATATTAAGTGAAATAAAGTGCTCTTCGTATCCCATCACTCCCCACGGTACCACTTAAAGCTCCTTGTTCAGTCTTGGATTTAAAATTCATATTCCTTGAATTTATTATGGTTGAGTGGTACAGTTGGACATTATTACATAGTTGGTAACAACACAGAGGCTTGGATGGACCTCCTCGGTAGTGTGTTCTACCACCATTGATTCCCAAGGGTAGCATAGCTTTGTGGGGGTGCATTTCCATTAACTCCTGCTAGATGGCGCCTGACCACTACACATGAGAGTGGTTCTTCTTTTCAAAGGAATTTCTTGGCAATGAGCATCGCAAAGGGTAAGGGGACATGGCTCAAGTATAACTGGTGCAAGATCTACTTCTACTCAATAATTATTGATTCCATAAATGTAAAGAGATGTTTCAAGTTATCCATACAAGGAGTAATAACCATACATGAACATATAAGCCTCATTATTCAATTAGAAGGATCATAAAGAGTCGTTCCTACATTGCATTTTAGTCCATACTGGTAAAATACAGGTACATGACTTTCATACATTAGCTGGTGAGCAAAGTGTATCCCTCCAACCCAACAACACAATGATACTGGTAATATAGTGACAGAAAAATTCAAACATAGACCCTTAGCTCCATTAGATACAAGATCTGGGCTTAGCAATTGTCTTTACCGTGTAAAGCAACGGGTCCCATTATGTAACTTGGTATCATTAATGCAAACTACCGTATAGATATAAGATATATAAGTTTTACAAAGAGTGCCTTTTAGTGTGTTATCATCTGTGTCATTAAGGTGACAACATTGCATAGCCTTCAGAGGGCCGCTGCTGACAAGTGGATAAAATCCAGAGGCTCAACAATGTGTATTGAATTCTTTCCTCAAAATTGTCTTGGACTGACTAACAAGTCATCATCTCTATGTCTACATGCGTGAAGTACAACAAGAAACTACATTCAGATTTCAACAGTGAATCCAATGCATCATGTGAGGGGGAAGATTTCTAGAAAACATCTTCGCATCCGAGGATGGCACAATTATCACATGAGCAGCTTCTACAATTTGGGCCATATGCAAATACTGATCTACATGTTGTCATTGTTGTCAAGTCTTTTACGGGTAAATGTTGATATCAGTAGACTAGAACAGCAAGGTTCAGTCCCTCTGGTCAGAATAAAACATGCTGGTTAATAATACTATCTCCTGGCTACTCACAAAGGAGGTCCCCTCAACTCCTGTAGCCAAATACAACACCTGCATGGACTGCAGTCACAAACACTACTAGAGCCATCATTTCAAAAGCAGTTAGTAACATTAACATCATCATATGAAGGAAATAACATTCTTTTGTTCTCAAGTTAATTGTTGTCCATATTATAAGGGTACAAGTGAACATGTATTGTAATCGCAATCTCTCACCAGCCCTCAGTACTGAGTCTCCCTCTAGAGTGACAAATATTGTGTGTGAACACATGACAGTTTGTCACAAGGTTGCAACGTTGGCCATGTTGGGGCAATTGTCAAATGAATTTTCAGAGTTTTCTTTCCCAACAGCCTCTCTCAGAAATCCATAATCTAAAACATCTGGTATTCATCAAACCAGTTCAGACCTGCCCAGCGAACAGTGATGCACAGAGTCAAACAGTTTCTGTGTCTTATTTTTCTTTGCCTCCAACGCTTGTTTTTTCTCCGGTTGGTTTAAACTTTGTGTGGGTATTACTGTCTTCAGTGCAGACATGGAACCCACTGAGATCAAAATGTGTCCAAAGGTTTTTCCATCAAATCTACGAGTGCAAATTACAAGCATAGAATAGTCACGTGCAACAATGAAAAACTACTCATGTCTTTAAATCACTTTTCTACTACTGAGGGTCATGTGACCTCGGTGCTTAGCCGTCATTGGCTGTTGTCCCCATAAAAAGGGTGCATTTTTTAACCACATTAATAGCCGTAGTCCTGTAACCACCTCATGGCTCTACTTCAGCGAAAGCGTTTATCAAATTTCCTTAACCATTTTTGGGTTGGAGATTGTCATTAAATGCTGCTTGTGAGAGGATTTTTTTCAATATTAAATGGTGAATGTTTTGTGAGCTTGTGTTTTTTTTGTTGTTCAGTCTGTCCCATGGTCTATAGGGCCTTCTGAATGGATTGATTTTAGCCAAAGGAAGCTATGAAACCATCCCTAAGGTGTCAGTTCCCTGCGGGTTTGGACGCTCTCCCAGTCTGTGGGGAGCTTTTCCATTTCCCATCCTCAAATCAACAAAACCAAAACCAAATGGCAGGCAGGAACCTGCATATTTTATAGTCCCTTCGGCTTCAACAAGCTTGTTTTTTTTCATTTTTTCTGTTTTTTTTAATAGTTTTTGTACAAAAATCTGTGAAAAACATAGATATCTATTATATATATAATATCCTCTCTCTTTGTTTTTTTTTCTTTTTTGAACAGTCATTACCCTTGCACCTCTTGTGAGGTGGCGGTGTCGGTTAGCGAGGACGGTTTCTCAGGCGTGGAGTGGTCTTCCAGCCCGCTGTCGGGACTCATCACGCTCCCGTTCTGCAGCTCGCCGCTGTCCGTGCTCAGGTCATGTTCCTCCTCCTCTAAGAGCGAACCTTTGCCCAGCGTCGGCGCGTCCGTCTCCAGCTCGGCGATGGTCACGTCTGGCACCTCCCCCTCCTGACCCGTGCTGCTGACCTCCGCGGCCTCCTCCAGCACCGTGGTGGTCACCGTGGCAACCAGGTCATCCTCGTCCTCCGACTCCTCGCTGCTGCTGACCTCCACATCGCCGTCAGCGACCTCCACGGGAGCCGAGTCCAGCTGCAGGGGGGGGGTAGGAAACAAGTTTGAACTGTAATTTCTAAGAATTTGGACTTACCCAACTGTGCAACTCTAGTTTTTGTCCAGGAATGAGAGATCCACTACTCCTGTGATGTCACATGATGCAGATGACATGTAACTCAGTGTTTGTCCTGATATCAAAGAGAACCAGGAGACAAGCTGACTACAGCTCAAACTCTCTATAACTTATGACAACTGCAGTACCGAACCCACCTCCATGAGGTCCCCATTAGCGGTTTGTTCCACATCCTCCTCTTCTGTTGCAACATCTTTCCCCTCGCCTGACCCCAGCTGGGACACGGGGATGGCTCCGCCCCCCACCTCCGCATCACCCGTCTCCACGGTACAGCCACGCCCACGCCCTTTACTCTGCACCTGGAAATTACACAGTGTTTGTAAAAGAACTGTACCATCCTGTTTTTATATGAAATACATGTGATCAGTTATTCATTAGTGTCACATTTAGTTAAAAATTTGCCAGTCAAGATGCTGACGAATATGCTGATAACCTCTCTGTAAAGCATTCATTAAACTGGGAATACAACAAATGAAAACTGCTAATTGTACATAAACAATTGAGAGATAACAGCAATAAGATTGGCTGCTGATCGGCTAAGCATCGCAGTTGCAGTGCAGTAAAACAGTACAATGCGGCAGGAAGCCAGAATAATTAGGTCAAGCTTCAGTGAGGGACAACTGGAACAGTTGAATCATCAAAAATCAACCTGAAAGTTTCTCATTTCAACCTTTTCCCTGCTATCTAACTAATGCAAATTTGGTTCCAAAAGGCTACATCAGTAGGGAGAAGGTTAAAAGAGAAAGTTTTGATAGGAATGCCAGGACAGGCACCCTACAGATGGTTAGTGTCCTTCCTAACCTTGTTTCTAAGGGCCAGCGTGATCCCTGCTAACTGTGACGTGGCGTCCCCAGCCTCCCCCACTCCCCCGGGGCCCTGCCCCTGCCCCTGCTCCTGGGCCTTCCCCCCCTTGTTGTTGCCCTTCTTGTTTTTCTTGTTCTTCTTGTTCCTGTACTGCTGGCCGGGGAGGGGGTAGGTCCCCATGTAGTAAGGAGTGGCCTGGCTGTAGTCATAGTACATCTGCAGTGGCAGGAGGGAGAGAGAAAGGCTTGTTCAGGTCAAGTAAGTGCAAAAGGCAAGAAAAAGGCATTTTGAACGTTGATGGTGCAATAAAAGATGCAAAGCTTACAAAAAGCAAAGGTGAGAGATAGCAGTTTGGAAACAAAAACATAAAGTACATGTTTTATGTATGTAAGTGTACCCAGCAACTTCCATCTTGTGTTGGGATGTAGTCATTGACAGTTTTTAGACACTGTTTCAGCCATTAGACTTAATTATACGAGAATCATTAAAACCTTTGGTTTTCTTGGGCACTTCAAGACCCTTTTTGGGCACTTTGACCCTGCATTCCCTTTTTCATAAGGCATAATCAGGCCTTTTAAGTCTTTGGAGTATGTAGGTACTCGCTCACCAAAATCAATGTATTTCAAACCTCCCGATTTAATGCCACTCATAATCAGCAATTTTACGTAATTTGAAATTTGCAGTGAAAATTTTGCCCCATGCAGAGCCCCATCTCTAACCATGGATACTCCATGCTGGGTACACGCGAGTGTTGACAGGTGTAACAGTGCAGACTGACCCCCGGGTCCTGGATGCCCCACGCGGCCGCTGACCTCGCCCCATGATACATGGGGTGCATTGCACCTCGCCCTCGCATTGCCATCCCGCCTCGCGCCATGCCCCGGCCCCGCGGCGGGATCTGGTAACTCACACCCCTGCAGGCGGGAGAAAACATTACAACAGTTGGTGTCAAAATCTCTCAAACAAAATCACTTCTGGTACAGACAAAAATGCAAAACCAAGATAAAATCAATTGAAGTCAAAGTTTATTGCGCAACAATTGTAACAGGTTCAATGTAAGGTAAAGTGTATAAGTCTACTAACTGCTTCCGAACTTCAGCCAACCTAATTGGTTGGTTGGTGGTCAGGGGAAAGCTGAGGACAGTTCTGAATGTACGCACACACCATACCATACTTACTTCCTGTACCCCCCCACGGAGGTGACCTGAGGAGGTTGGTAGTTCCCCACCCCGGAGGGGTTGCCGGCCCACTCCCCCACGGGGATCCCTGCAATCTGCAGCTTCCCTCCCCTCCCACTCACCGGCTTACCTACAAGGGAACAGACATGCAAGGTGTTTAGACTGTAGTAGATCGACACATGTAAGAGCACTGTGATGAGTTTCAGACTAGGCAAGTTTAATAGTCTAGGAGGAAAGTCTCAGTAGAAGAGGCATAGAAGATATGTAGCCTGCCCTAAACACAATTAGCCCATTAACATAGAATGATAGCTTGATGTCTCTGTAAAGTATGCTGGATTCTGGACATGTTCTAAGTATGGTCTACCACCTTTCCCCTCATACATGCACAGTTTAAACAGTGAATCTCTGAGCCCAGTCTGGCTGTATGTGTGAACTACATGTACCACTGCACTGCACCACTACCACTGCACTCCACCACTACCACTGCAATACACCACTACCATCTTACTGCACCACTACCACCTCACTCCACCACTATCACACACACAGACAGAAGTCCCAGAGGGTGCCTCACCGAGGTTGTTGACCTTACCGGCCAGGCCTCTGCCCCTGCCAGGGAGCGGTCCCAGTCCTGCTGGCCTGAGGTTGGGCGGGGGGAGCAGCCCGCCGTAGCCGCCCATCCCCATGGGCCCCATGCGAGGCAGCGGCATGCGCGCCCAGTCGTTGGTCAGGCCCTCCAGGATGCTCTGTCGCATCCGCTCCACCTTAGCAACCTGGTCCATCTGGAACATACACACACACAGATGTAAGTCTTACTGTTCAACAAGTTCAACAAAGGTATGATTCCAGAATCCTATATTAATCATCATTCAGTCAGGTCTTTAACAAGTTAGGTTCCATCTGGAACAATCAGTACAATATGAGCCTCACTCTTGGTAATACTGCCCGGTGGTCTAAATATGGAAATATGGAAGTTGGCACAGTTAGCTACAAATCGCCCGAGTGGAGCCCTGACAAACCCCCGTCATCATCCTTGCAGAAGAATAGTATGAAATTTATGTAACACTAACAGAGGCCCTAATAAAGCAAACAAACATGCTCCTCCCCCTCACCTGTCCATCACATAGTTCCCTGAGTGGCTTGTTGGCGCTGGACTTCAGTAGTTTGGTGTGGAACAGTTTCCCGTCGAAGAACAGCCAGGGGCACGTCAGCTCCCACACCACGGGCGCGCCGCACGCCTCGTTAGCAAACATGGCGGTCTCCACGCCGCGCATGAACAGGGCGGCGATCTGGACACCCCGGGTCGTAACCATGGGAACCTGGGGCAAAGGTCAGACTGTTACGTATCCATAACACCACGCATACAAAATATGCATTGCAAATGTATCAAAGTGAGACCTCTGTGAACTTCTGTACACTTAAAGAATTAACGAGGCCCATGGGCCAAAACTGGTCATGACTGGCTGAATAGAAGTTCTGAACAGGAACTATGTGGCTCCAGATGTCTTAGTGAGGAACAACTGCTGTGTGCTGTATGTTAACGCTGGTCACCTGAGTGATTACTAATGCATCCACTCTACTTTATACCACACATAAAGTATGTTATCACCACTATACAAACTACAAAATCACTAACATGTGATTCAAAGCAAAGGTTTTCCCAAACAGGAGATTCACAAATAAGACAGAATAAGTGTTAAAAAAGATCAACAGTACGACGGCTGTGTCTAACCTGCATGGCCTCCAGGGCCTGAGGGTTGGCCAGTCTGGGGTCCACACTCTGGGCCAGGAACGCGTCTAGCTCATGCCGACGCAACAGGGGACGGCCTGGCCACTGTAACATGTACCTGTGGAGACAACACAATTACACCCGGTTTACACGACGACAAAATCCGTGCGTACGAAAATTGCGTACGCAAATTTCGTACGAAAATTGCGTACGCAAAGGTTTTCCCTCCGTGTAAACGGGTCCCAATTTGCGTACGCAAGTTTCAGAGGTGGCGTACGATCGCCCAGCGGGGAGTTTTTATGACTTTCCGGGCCTCCGGGCGTCGTGTAAACAGAACTGATCGTACGCACGCACTTCCCTGATGCAGAAGGTCAGGGGTCATATGCAAATTCCCTATCTTTTTTCCCGCGTCTTCCAAACCACGCCGTGTTTACATTCGCCTTCTCGTTTACCTACCAGTTTATCTCCCCGCGTTCTCGCTTTATCTGTTGTATTTTGTTAACATTTGATTGTTTGGCTATTGGATATCGCGTTCACTGGCCATGGAGGAGCGCAATAGCGCGAACTGGAGCAGCGAGGAGACTCGCTGCTTGATCGGTCTGTGGAACAACGACCGAGTCAAAAACAAAATGGAGACGTCAAGGAGAAAGGAGGCGTACGAGGAAATTGCGCGAGGGATGAGGGAACAGGGGTATAACAGGACGCTGAAACAGGTGAAGAAGAAAATCAGCGACCTGAAGTACGCCTACCGTAGGCATAAGGACAACAATAACCGAAGTGGGAGGGGGAGAAGTAACTGGGAGTTTTTCGATCTCCTTGACGGCTTCTTGGGGGACCGCCATGCCACCGAACCGGCTCACTTGGTGGAAACTGTGATTGAGAACGAAGGTACGTGTATATCTGAAACTTGAAGAATAGTTTTCTCAATTTCATAATTTACTATCGAGACGATACTATTCTTTTTTTTTGGGGGGGGGGGGCTGTAATGTTGTCGAATTTCCTGCCCTAAATAGTATGCATGTGGTACATAATCTACAACATTTATGTGGAGAGAAAGAGAGTGATAACATTATTGTACCATTCTGTCCCATAGGTCCAGTGACAGGTCAATGGTTAAAAAAAAATAAAATGCAATGAATGTCAATGAATTATGAATATGATATGTAACAGTGTAGAATTATCTTCCATTGATATGCATATCATGTTTGTCATCCTCCTATTTTTTTTAATTTTAGATGAGGATGATGGTGAGGAGGAGGATGTCGATGCTAGTGGTGATGAAGAAATTGAGGTAGAACTAGAAGCTCGTGGACCGACCCCACCGCCAGGTGAAGAAGATGCGATGACTGGGGACCTTTCTTTGCCATCAGGTGAGTGTGTCTTTGGTCACAAACTATTTTTACACTTATAAAGTAGGCAACAAGTAATTTTAAACTTTCACTCCCCCCCCTCCCTCTCTCTCTTATTTATATAGTTGTTAACTTGTTATAGATCTCGGGTGAAACTTCACCTACTTTCCAAACTCTACTTTTAATGAAATTCTAAACAAGATGAATTCATGCCTGTTGATATACTAGTACTTCATTTGACAGGATGAGAGTTTACAGCCAAATGTCTAAGTCATATGTTTAGCAAATTGTCATCTGAAACATTTACTAATTCTGATGTTTGTTATTTCTTGTTACAGACACTTCAGACACATCTGGCAAAGGAAATGGTAGGTCTATAAATACATGTAGCTGTTTTGTAAAAGTAGTCTTGAAACTAAAAAAAGTACATTTTGCACTGCATTGATTACAGGACCCATAGTAATTTTGCCCAACAGTAGGTTACATTTAGCTGTGTATGTTTATCTTCTTATGTTGATTGCTTTCCAGGTAATACAGACAGCAGCATGGGAGAGGGTGAGGAGGAGAAGAAGAAGAAGGAAGAGGAGAAGAAGAAAGAAGAGGAGAAGAAGAAAGAAGAGAAGAAGAAAGAAGAAGAGAAGAAGAAAAAGGAGGAGGAGCGGAAGAGGAAGTTGAATGGTAAGTTTTGAGATAAATTGTTTGTCAAGGATTACAGCATTATCGATAACAATCTGTAGAGCACATGGTAGATTGAAAGAAGGCAATTCATGTTGTAATAGTATTACAAAATGACTTGCCTTCTTTAACTAATACTATATTCGTTCTTTCTTACTCATCATGTAGGAGTCAGGACAACAAACAAAGACAAAAGGAAAAAGACCAGGCTGGAATCAGCAATGTCAGAGCTTGGCAAGACCATGGCATCACTGCAGGATGGCAACAGAAAAGAGGAGTCGGAAGCGGAGAAGACTAGAGCAGCGCACGAACTGAAAATATTAAAACTACAACAGGAACATGAACTAAAAATGATGGGGCAGTTCATGACTGCTATGGCCAATTTCTTTGGCAACGTCCCAAGGTATCCTGCTCCTAACCCCACCCCTACCTTCCAGGCACCTGAAAACACCAGACCTCACCTGAATGTGCAGCCGCAGTTCACAAACACACTTCATTTCCCTACCGCCAGTACCTCTCGTGGACCTCCCCCACCTCTCCACTACCCAACACCCCTTTACAACAGTAACATCTCCATGCAGCAGGGACGCTACACACAACTGCAACAGCCTTCCACCCCTCTCAACCACCCCAACATTTCTCAGATACCCAGCACCAGCATCCACTCCACTCATGGGTCCCGCACCAGCAGCCCCATCCCCTCCACTCATGGGTCCCGCAGCAGCACGCCCATCCAGTCCACTCATGGGTCCCGCACCAGCACGCCCATCCCCCCCATTCCTGGGCCACGCACCAGCACGCCCATCCCCCCCATTCCTGGGCCACGCACCAGCACCCCCATCCCCTCCACTCTGAGCAACTCAGAACAGCAGTGGCCAGAGTCCCATCTGGAGGAGGATAAGCCGACTTACTTTGCCCTGTGAGGTTGTTTCTCATGCCAGGTATTTTAATCCAGAGACTTGTGTGAAGACTTCTCAGAAAAGATGCTAAGACTTGTCTGAAGACTTCTCAGGAAAGATGCTAAGACTTGTATGAATACTTCTCAGGAAAGATGCTAAGACTTGTCTGAAGACTTCTCAGGAAAGAACATACCTACCTATCCTCTCCTTCATTATTTTCTTTTTTAACACATATCTAAACTTTGATAAGATTGTTTTTTTAGATCTGTAGAAGTTGTTTTAAGAACACAGAAGTTGTTTTCCAGTTTGAAATAGATACTTGTTTCAAGTAGAGAGATGTTTCAAGTAGATGGTAGTTGTTTCAAGTAGATGGTAGTTGTTTCAAGTAGATGGTAGTTGTTTCAAGTAGATGGTAGTTGTTTCAAGTAGATGGTAGTTGTTTCAAGTTCAGGTAAACTACCATAAGTATTGCTAGGATATGCCATGTATCTTGCCATGCAGATATTTGTGCCAAAGATTTGTGTTTTAGAACTTTTTGGTGCTATGGGTGAAACGTACTCTTTACTGTTGCAATAATGTTTTTTTTTGCAAATGCAATCATTACTTCTATGCCACTGTAACATATCAGTCTACAATAAACTTGATATACATGTTTCTTACTTGGAGAAAATAAAACACAGTGTTACTGCTGCACAGATGTTTACTCGTGAAATATATCAAAGCATTAGATTTTTTCACCTTGTTTCTACAACAGAATTACATTATGGCAAGTACATGTACAAAGCAAATCACATCTCAAAGTATACTAGTAATCCATTCACATATTGTACCTGCCACTACTATTTTTCATTACAAACTGTTTGTTCAAAATAAAGGCACAGATGTTGTGAAATAAATCAAAGCACTAGATTTTTTCACATTGTTCAACAACAGACTACACTACTACCAATCATTTTTCATTACAAACTGTTTGTTCAAAATAAAGGCACAGATGTTGTGAAATAAATCAAAGCACTAGATTTTTTCACATTGTTCAACAACAGACTACACTACTACCAATCATTTTTCATTACAAACTGTTTGTTCAAAATATAGGCACAGATGTTGTGAAATAAATCAAAGCACTAGATTTTTTCACATTGTTCAACAACAGACTACACTACTACCAATCATTTTTCATTACAAACTGTTTGTTCATAATGTAGGCACAGATGTTTACCAAATCACAAGTCCTCAGCAGCAAACAGGTCGGCTAGGGCATCCCTTACAGCATGGGTGCGTGCCTCTCCATGCACAACAGGGGCCTGAGGCACTTCTTCGTCAGGCATAAACCATGCCTGATCGAACTCTTCCCTGTTCATCTCTAAGATATTGTGCAGCACACAGCATGCAGATACAATATTTGGAACCTTGCTAATGTCCACATCAAGACTTTTTGCAAGACACCTCCAGCGGCCTTTCAGGCGCCCGAAGGCGCACTCCACCGTCATCCTTGCACTGCTCAGTCGGAAGTTGAAGTTAGTCTTCCTTCTGCTGAGGTGGCCGTTGTCAGCATACCCCTTCATCAACCAGGGCAGCAAGGGGTATGCCGGATCACCCAGGATCATGACCGGCACCGGCACGCCATTGATGACTCGTGTCATCTCCTACATGAGATAATGCAAAAATTGCAATGGAACAGTGAGAAAGGTAGTGAAAACTTCAAAAGGAGCAAACATGCACAGTCGATCAATCGTGGAAATCATACTGTACAACATATCTTAATTCCAACAATAAACATCTCCACATGTCATAATGTAAATGTTTGCATGCCCAGCCAGCAAAAGCAATGTCTTGTACAAAACATACATGTATATAATTCCTGGTTTCAGAATAAGTAATTGAATTTTACCGGGGGGAATAAGGTTCCTCTCTCAGCACACCTGTATGGAAGGGAGTTCCTCAGGATTCTGGCATCATGTACACAGCCTGGCCATCCCACATTTATGTCAGTGAATCTAGTATGAGGGAAAGAATAAAAGTTGCCAAAATCATTGAAGCTGATACATGGTAAGTTTGTACTAGACATGAAGGTAAGCTATAATAATGTAACATCATAGATTTATATGCTAAGATGTTCAACTTGACTTGGAAACTTAACATAACACACAACAATGCAATATCTTCACACATGTTCTGGGTTATGACACATTTACATGTACTTCCCTCAGTAATAAGGAGAGACCAGTTTCTTATGTAAGGGAAAGTATATATATATAGATACATACAAACATACATACATATACGTATATATATACACACACACACAAAACTCACCGATAGCAGAAGTCTACAACAGCTTGCAGAACTACAGAATGGTACCCCTTCCTGTTGAAGTAGTCCGTGTGCCCTTCTGAAGGTGCCTTAACTTCAATATGTGTACCGTCCACCGCTCCTGCACACTGGGGGAAGGCCCACCTCTGTTCGTAACCGTTAACTGTTTGCCGGAGTGCTTCTCCCTTCGGCCACGATATGTATCGCGGCAAAAGGGTCTCTACTACGACCTGACAGAAGTCATGGACCAGATTACACACAGACGCCGTACTGAGGCCGAAAAGGTCTGCAACCGTTCTGAAAAGATCTCCTGACGCCAACCAGTATATGGCCACTGCTACCCGTTTTCTCACCGGTATCGGCGTTCTCAGTCTGGTGGTTGTGCGCACAAGCCGCGGCTCCAGCTCGTCGCAGATCCGCAGAAATGTAGCCCGTGTCATTCTGAACCGTCTGTACCACTCCTTGTCATCGAAAGCGGGATGGAAGACGACGGTATCCCACCATGCTGTAGTCCTCGTCTCGTCACGATCCCTGACTGCCCGATCAACCTGCCCAGCTTGGGCAATAGCGATGGCTGCAAAGACGGCTGCACGTTGAATCTCGTGGTAACGGTCCCTTCGACGCCCAATCCTTCTTCTGCCCAGTGCCCGGCGCCGCATGTACATTCGCATAACGAAGAAAAAGAACATCTGTCGCATGAAGAACAGGAAAAGAGCCTGTTCTCCCGCCATTTTGGAAATGGCGCGCCGGGTATGTCAAAGGTCGCGGCGGGTCAATATGGGGTCACGATGGTGTACCGGCGCAGCGGGCGTCCCCAGCGGTCGCGCTCGCTGTGTGTAAACAGGAACGAACGTACGCTCGCGTGCGTACGCAATTTTCGTACGCACGGATTTTGTCGTCGTGTAAACCGGGTGAAATTCCCAATTATGCTTCTTATGATGCAGCAGGCACAAGAGCTTTAGAAACGTAGATGGGCATAGCCATATAAACCAAAAGGCATGGGAAGGATTTTGAACCCACCTGAGCACACAGCACAGCACCAGTAGATGGTGTGGGACATAGAGAGGCTTGAGCATGGCCGGGGTGTCTGCCAGCATGCAGGACAGGAAGGCACGCAGACGCCGGTTCTTATCCTCTACCTCCTGCCCAAACCACAGCTGTTTCACCTTAGGGACCTGGCAACCAGAAAAACAAGGTCCACCGGGACGTTTCATCTCGTGTTCTGTCAAACACTTATATACATATCACTAACATATATATAGTAAGAATAAATTCTCCATTCAAACACACCACTGCAACACATGCAACAGGTAAAGCAAAAGGTAGCTGAATATTAGAGGCTTTTGAGATGTAGTAAAGATGTGAACCAGCTTGTAGATATCTATGAAAACATCACTAGTGTAAGGAACATAGTTATCCCATTCTTACTTTACATTGTCACCTTACCAAGGTATGTCATGCCTTCATAAAGACTGGGAATGTGGATATTTAGCAGTCTTGACTGAATATCAACTCTCTCAGTCCAAGAGGTTCTGACATTCAGAGGGCCAGGGGTTCAAAGCAGTTCAAAGCAAAATGCACCATTACAGTATTACAAGCAAAAGACTGTGAAAACCAGCTAGCATGCTTGGGCCTCAAAATACATATCTGGGCCAACCAGGATTGGAGTGAGGATTGAACCATTTGTAACAGATATCATCTACCACTGAAGTTTCTTTAGACTTCTTTAGACTGGTGTCAAAGGTAACTTTTAAATTGGAACATTCTTCTGCACCATTACCAAGGAAATGATTTCAATGCTCACAATGAGAAGGTTCAGACTTCAGGGTTCCAATCTGCAAGGTCAAATGTGAAGACCCCTGACCTACAAAACAATTCTTGCCTAGACCATGCTTAATACATGCCTAGATGTGTTTTGTTTCTGTCTCAGGGGCCTTTGCCTTACAGTGCATTACAGTTGACCCCCCCCCCTCCCCTCACTGCACTTGCCACAACCATGAAGATTTGTCCATTTTCCTCAGACTGTGAAGACAAAGTGAATTACTGTATTATGCTCAGCAGGTCGTCTGTGTATTTGCTTGTATTCTAAGGCCCGAGCAACAGTGTGGGGGAATAGCATTCAATGGCGAAATAAAAATAAAAAGGAAGAAAAGCACCCCAGCACACGTATGAAACTGAAAATGTTTACATCAGTTCGGAAGACGTACGGCCCTCGGCTGACCTTCCAGTCCAGAGGCAGAGCCTCCACCAGCTCAGGTTTCTGTATGGACCGTCCCTTCTGTACACACCACTCCTTCACTATCACCTGTCGTCTGGGGGCTGTGGACACATACAGAACTGTCAACATTCTACTGCTGACTAACCTGGTTACCAGGGTTCTAGCCAGCGCCCTTCTTTCCATCATTTGACAAAATTTTGTTGCTCAAGACACACAAAAATCAGTGTGCAAGGATATGGCAAGAGATGTCATTAAACTAAGTTTAGTCTACCAGCAAAATTTACCCAGTTTAGACTAATGCAAACAGACATTAGCCTTTACAAAAGTAACCACAATGAAGCATCAAAATTATTCAAAACTTTCATCCACAATTATTCTATAACATTCATTCAATTCAAACAAGCCAGTGCTGGAAAACATGAAACCAAACATGTTCTTCTTTCAAGGCTCTACTTTCCACTCAGGAATTTTGACTCCAAAATTTCTGAACTCTTAACTTTTACTTACAAATTTTGGTAAGAAAAAAATTTTAGTCACAAAAGAACTTTGTTAGTGATGAACTTTTGACCAAAACTTGATGTCATGTTGCTGAACGAAACCAAAAACAAAAAAAATAACAGAATGAAACAACAAGACATCCATGCCAGCTCTTTTACCCTGCTCCTTTCCCTTCTTTTTCTTGCCTTGGTGTGCCACGTTGAAGAGGATGCCGTATGTCAGCTGGCGGGCGGGGCGCCACAGCTCCGCGGCAGACGGAAGGTCCTTCATGGCCTCGTCCTCCAGGGTCAGGTCAATCTTGATCTCTCCCTGTGGAGATAGACGGTAGACTTGTTGTTTTGTCATCCTCACCTGAGGCAAAGCATGGTGCTTTTTCACATAGCTAAAACTAAAAGAGCAATGTGTCTTTGCTACAGCTCCTGTTTATAGCCAATCACACTGGGTAACCCCTTGCTCTTCACAACAAGTGTGGGCTCCTTTACATGCAAAGGTTTGGGCTTGAGGCTTATGCTTGAAGCTCCCATATACACATTCATATAACACATGTATATATGGTGACCAGCCCTTCTCAAACTCTGTCCTGTCACTTGCTACATAATGTTACCCGACACCACAGGTTGTCTGCTACACCAGTTAGCATGGTGACAGCCATCTGCTCCAGGTTACTGATCTTATTTGTTGGGAGAGGAAGGAAAGGAGCAAAAACAACATGTTTAATACCTTCCATAGACATAACACCTCATTCCCTGTAGGTAGTAAACAGTCGCCCCCACTCCCCACCTGTGTGATGATCTGATAGATCCATGGGTTCATGAGACCCAGCTTGTGTCTGTACTGCGCGGTCCGCAGCACGCTGGGTGAGATGGTGGGCAGTTTGGGGATGGTGACGTCCAGGTACGGGCGCACCGGTGTGGACATGAGCGACGGGATGCCCGCTGTCGGGTCCTTCGTCTCCGGTGTCGGGTTGGCGCTGGAACTGGTGGTACTGGTGGTGTCAGAGGTCGAGGCCTGCAAAAAAACACATCTATTGTACAAGAGTAGCCAGGTTCTCAGTACCTGCTGACTGCCTAACTGTACAGTTTAGGCCATACAAATTTGATTTGTTGGTTCTTGGATTATTTTGCAGAAAGTCAATAAAGTGGGTAGGCAAAAGGCACACTACTGATGGAAAGACTGTCGCAAGTAAGAATGCATGGACTTTCTTCAACCATTCAGTACCAAAATTTGAACATTTTGGGGTTGAGAACCTGACTTGAATAAAATGTACATTTTTTTCCCATGATTTTTATGACTTCCATGATCTGCCCGATTTCCAGACCTGGTCCCTTAAGACAATGTTTTAAGGCAAAAGAGAAATGGTGAGTTAGTGGATACACACATGGTATTAGTTTCACATATTAACTCACTGTCTCCCTTATAATTACATGACTGGTTACTACTACGTATACATGGGGTTATGGATACGTAACTCAATCTGAATGGATATGAACAGTGAAAGTGCATGTGAAGATTACTATTAATTATACTACAATGACTGTCACCACACAACGAAGGATAGGTGCAGAGGGGAAGGGTCTAAAACTACCTCCGTCAACAATGGGATGATCCAAACATCATGCATGGAGCAACACAAACAAACAAACAAACAAACACAACCAACACGGCGGTCGGTTGCTAGGCTAAAAGTCGCATTACTATGGAGGTATCGGGTTACAGAACGTGTTCGAACGTGGCCGCGCGGGAGTCCCAGGCCGGCCGGGGCGAACGGGTAAATTGAAAATAAACAAAAGTAATTGGAGAGTAAATACTCGTCAAAATAAAATAGTAATAAGTGATTTTGTTTACCTCAAATGTTATTCTTGCACTGCCTTTGCTCCACTTTGTGTACATTTGCTTCCAAATGAGATCAATTTCGGATTTCAAAAAGGGTTCACGAGAACCAAACAACTGATTTTAAGAGGCCCCAAAAATTAAAAATTAGGTTAGATTTTTGGATTTTTTGAAATATTACAGTAAATTTAAACTTTCTGTCTTAGGATTTTTTTATTTTTTAACTAAAACTCGACTTACAGTCAAAAGAAGAGCTAAAAACGCAGTGTTTTAACTTTGAATACCGATAATTCATAATCGCGGCCATATTTAAAAAATCCCTAAGACAGAAATCTGCGGAAATCGTTCCTCTTCCAAACAAGCCCTCAATGAGCTAATTTGAGCGATTTTTGGGAATGGTTAAAATACCATGTTTGCACGCGTGCTATGACACTTGGATATGGGGACCTGGATTTTTTAACAGCGTCAACAAGAATTCTGACCTTCAAGGTCACCCACGATGACGACAGTTGCTTTGTTACATGTTACATATCCACAATACAATCACGGCATAGATGTAATGTTTTGAAAACGGTTCATATTTGTGGAAAGGTGGATTTTTCCTGTTCCGTGGTTCCCAAGTAAAAAAGGGCTTGAAGTAGCCGGTTGTAGCGGCTTTACTGTAAATGACCGCGGGTAACCCCGGATCGAACGCCCGTTCTATTCGAATGACGTCATATCGAACAAGATTCGCGGGTTCGGGGGATTCGATCTCCATAGTAGCGGAGTGGGACTTTTGGGCCCAAATCTGACCATCGTGCAACAGGTTCAGATCACCAGCCAATGAAAAATAAGTGGAAGTTGAAAAGCCTACCCTCTTATGAACCAGCTATCCACCTCTGACATTATGTACAATGTGCTGTGGTTTGTACACATATAGCGTTGCAGACTGGATGAAAAGGTGAAAACTAAAGCATTGCAAAGCAAGCAGCACTATGGCATGGTCTCACAGTAATCCCACAACAACATCAGACGAATAAATTTGTCTGGGAAATTCTCAGTATAAAATAGTAACCAACTAGTGCTATTGTTTACTTCTTGGACACCCAGTCCTCTAGCCTACGTTGCTGAATGGCAGCAAAGAGCATGTTGGCAGAACGTACTGCACCGGCGCAAAATACAACACAGTCATCTAAGGATGGCATCCCACCTGTAGTTTTCAAATGTTGTGTCAGGAATGATATGTAGCATATCAAATTCTGATGCGACATTGACCAAACATCAACAAAAATTGTATTATAACACAGGCGCAGTACGTTCTGCTGACATGCTGCAGCACAGGACATGGGGGGTGTTTGTAACCCTGGACTGAACTACTCCACAGAGGGAGGGGGGAGCAGGTCTAACCTGGGAAGCAGGGCTGGCCATCCGTGTGACCATGGGGGGCCCTCCCTTACTATCCTCGGCGGCGGGGTCCCCTCCCCGGCGCAGGGCCTCCTCACGCTCACGCTCCTCTTCCTCCCGCGTGATCTTCTCCCACGCTACTTTGGGGCTGAAGCGCTCACTGGGGCTCATGTCGCCAGCAGCCTGCCACAACACACGAGCAGAGAATAAGGCTGGAGCATGCACCACTCAACACACGAGCACAGGTACTGTAAATAAGGCTGGAGCATGCACCGTATAACACAACACACAAGCACAACTACATAAGGCTGGAGCATGCACCGTATAACACAACACACAAGCACAACTACATAAGGCTGGAGCATGCACCGTATAACACAACACACGAGCACTGGTACATAAGGCTGGAGCATGCACCAAGCAGAGCTTGTACACCAATAATAGCTGTCATTCCTTTTAGACATACTGTAGTCTTGAATATTGAACTTCAACCTCAACTTCAAATGTTTTTGAATTTGAGCTTGAATTTGTTTGTAAAGGATCTGTTTTGCACGGATTAAGTCACGGTCCTTTGAGACTGACTGAGTCTTGCATGTTATTTCTTTGAGTCTTGACAGGACGTTTCTACCAGTCTTCTATACAATTTCATGAACATAACCTTTGTCACACTGAAATAGCCTTTTATAACCAATTCTCTATATGGTAAAGTGGTTAGGCTGCAGGGAGAAGGTTACAGGAAACTGGCCTACATGTAACTTTCAAAGTACATGTATGTAAGTACCAGTCAAATTTCAAAAGCGGAGTCATCGGGCTGTTTTGCAAAGGTCTAGAAGAACTATGTGTCACAAGCTGAAGTGTTGACAACAAAACTTCAAAAGATAAGATTCTATATCTTTTTTGTTTCAGAATGAATTGGACAATACAAGGTGTACAAACCCTGACCACACAGCACAAAGCATCTCATCTTGAGCAAACTTTTGCAATTGAATATCACAAATGGCAATCGCACCTCTGTTTTTCTAAAATAACCTGTGCCTTTTGATATGCTGACACTGCATAACAAGTAAGTCCCATGCACTTACTACCTAAACAGACCATACCAAGACAAGAATGCAACAAGACAAGTACAATCTGGTATTTGGATCTTTGGAGTTATACAAGCAAAGAGCTAACAGTACCAAAGTCACTCTGTTACTTTTTATCTATGCAAAAAAACAATCAGTGCTCACCAGAAGTCACACCAATGCTTATTTTCTAATCACAATTTAGCAAGCACTGAGAAGGTGGTAAGGGTATTCAACAACAAATAACAGTCTCATACAATATACAAATCCAATAGGTTATCTTACATCAGTCCTAATTTTGCTATCTTAGATGCTTCAGCAGTATCTTAACTTCTGGTTATCTTACATCAGTCCTTATTTTGCTATCTTAGATGCAGTATCTTAACTTTTTGAATTAAAAGACAAGTGTTTAGTATGAAAAAAGAGACAAATGCAGATGTTTCATCTTATTTGAGGACTTGGTCTAAACTTTGAGGAATTTTTGTTATTTTGACACAATCTCCACACCACACGAGCCTGTACCTTGTTTTCCTCGGAGGCTGTGGCGATGTTGGTCAGCTCCTGACTGCTGTCCAGGGTGGAGGTCTCACTGGAGCTGTCCTCGATCGTCTCTAATGTCATGTTCTGCATCTAAAACACAAACACACAGGTTCTCACACATAAAGAAAAGCTCATTCACAGTTCAAACTAGCACGTACTGTGCCTATGGAAAAACAGTTTTTGTTGGAAATTTGGTCAGGATTTGCATCAAGATTTTACCAGTTGCAGAAGATATCTGTTCCAACTTAACAATTCAAAAAGTGGCCCTTTCAACCTATTTTTTTCCTAACTCCAGAAGGAATCAAAACAATGACAAATGCATGAATGTTATTCATGTTGAACAACTGAAGACTTCAGAAGTAAGAATGATGTCCTACCTTTCTGTCCAGGTCGTCCTCCAGCTGAGCCTCTATCTCTGACCTGAGGGCGTTCTGCAGGTCCTCGTTGACCGTGTCCAGCTCCTTACTGACCACAATCTGCGGGTTACCCTGCTGGGCACTCTCCTAAGGTGGAAGGAAGACGAAATATGTATGCGTGTTATCTTGCATAATGTGACGTTCACAGAAGCGGTGGGTTGTTCATTCCCAGTCTAGTCATTGCAGTCTAGAATTTGAGTAAGTCCAATTTTTGTGTTGGAAAGTATAGTTTAAACTTCACAATACTATTACTTTGCCTCTAATGTCTGCTTTGATATCAACATACTAGACTAGAATATGGCACCTGAATAACCTTTGGACACTCATCCTATGTTTTAGATGTACTAAACATGTTAACATGCTACATGCAGTCAGTTTAAAAGTTAGTGGGTTTTCAGGCCTATCTAAGACTATCACACGAAAGATCTAAGACTTCTATGACAATATGAAATGTGTTACAGGTAAGTGAGCCGTAGCCTTACCATGACTTCGCTCACCACGATCTCAGGCATGGTGGCGTCTCTAGCACCAGCACACTCCTGCATGGTGCATGGAGTGTACAGTACAGTGTAGGGAGGCTCACAGAGGTCACAACTACTGCTCATTCAGCTAAACCCTTACACTTTGTAGACAAAATTAGTACTTTTAAGTTGTTAAAGTCACAAAAAACACTTTATCCATCTAAGAAATTGAACTTGCAATTACAATACTATAGGAACCGAGAACCATTGAGTTGAAGTTAGTCGTTAAGTGTTAAATTGGTGGCCACAATAAAAGGTTAGATTGTCATTCGAGACTACGGGTTTGAGGTTAAGGGCTAGGCTGTAGTACTGGGTCAGATTGAAGGTTAAGAGTTTGGGTGGTGGTAACAGTTCAGGATACAGATTTAGGACAGGATGTGGCAAGAGGTTTTGAAAATGGTAGATAAGTGATTGTGGTTGGAGGTTAATGGTGAAGATGGAGGCCAAAGGTTCCAGGGTTAGGACAATGCCCCAAAATGTGGAAGTTAGGTCTATGCAGTAAGGATTTGATTGAAACTTGAAGTTCAAGTCCTGACTGTGTGCTCACCTGCGGCTGCTGCTGAGGGGTGTGGTCAGTGTCTGCATCTGGCTCCTGATTGGTGGAGGGCTGGGGGTCCACAGCTGTGAGAATTAGCATCCAGTTAGCTCAACATTCTACATGTATCATGATTGAAAGTGTTACAAAGAGGGTCATCAAGTTCTAACAATTGACTTCATTAGCTGGCCTAATTTTGTTTTTTTTTCGCCTGACACTTCTAATCTCTGTGGTCTGATCTAATCACTGTTAGAAGACTAGAAGGGCAAATATGTATTCTATTTCATACTTTTTCATTGCAATAACAGCAATACATGGTGGAGCAAAACCTGCTGATGCCATGCTCACACACCATAAAACACATAATAATTAAATCAGGAATGAGTCATTCTCAGTCACTGATGAAAAATAGCAGATGGTGTGTAAAATGTCTCCTCACAGATTTATCCAGTAGCTCAATTTTGTATTGTGTAATGTTCTACCTGGATGGCTAACCTTCAATGACATTTACTGTGTGCAAATAGGTACATATATCAAAAGAATGTTTAGACCTTAGAACCGGTGGTGTAAGTTATATGTCAAACCTAACATGCTGATTTATTCATATGTACTTGTACGTAGGTTAATTCATTTGTATCCACTATGTTTGTTTGTATGTATGGTTGTTGAAGACCTTCCAAAAATCCTTGTACTTCTGTTATGTCAATAAAGATTGTCACATCTAGCCTCATCTAGCCTACCTTGCAGTATGGGCCAGTTCCCGTCCTTAGTCCCAGCCCTGTAGTACATCACAGACTCCTTAAACTTCTTCATCTTGTCGTCCTTGCGCGTCTCCGAGTGCTGGAACACGTCCTGCGCGACCTTGTCCAGGTCGTCCACGGAGGGAAGGTTCTTGACGTACTCGGCGACGGCCTTGATGACCACGTCACATGGCGGCAGCACCAGCTGGTGGGCTCGGACCTGGGTTTGATATAACAACAGCATTTTAACTAAATATGATCTGTTACCTTTGTGAAGAAGGTTATGTGTTAGGTACACCATATAAATGGGGTTAGTGATGTTATAACTTTGCGGTGTGGGACATGCTCTCTTCATGATATTTGGAAGGTAGGTTGGGGTTGGGACAACAAAGGTTAAGATGCCACTTTTCTTCTGGGTAACATTTTTCTTGTGTGGATTGCTTATTGTTTTGGCTAAGAGGTATTGAAACAAAGACAATGTTCAACAGTTGCCATACAATAATACTATGATAGTTATGGACACTGATTTATAAACATGCTGAATGCTACTCTTGAAATGATCAAGATAATTCACACACAGAAACTGAACGTTAGCTCTAATTAACAAATTGTGACAAATAGTTAGGGCAACCATCTTTGCCCAAAAAGTAACTTAAAAGAAAACATAGGAAAATCATCGTCGTGGTCACTTCCCTACATGGTAATTTCAGGTTGTCATGGTTACCTTGAGCCCTGCCAGTGGGTGTGTGGGACCCAGCAGTGCCCAGTGGAATGAAGCCAGGTCCTCATCAGGCAAGATGTGGTTACCTAGGAAACAACACGATGGAACAACAAAACTTTCAAAATCACATAAAGAACATCAATGACTACTACAAGAGAGTTTACACACTGACTCATCTAAGCAAACTGTAAAATTGTTTCTTTTCCATATTTACATTTCTTGTTAGAATAAAATTTTTTTGTCAGAATAAAATTTATTATCTTCTATGAAATTATTTTTCATTAAGATTATGCCTACTTTCAGGTTTCATCGTCATTTAAGCATATTGGATCTTTACTTTTTGACTTGTATGGTGCTTTGATTTTAGAATAAAAATGGTTGATGGAAAATTAAGAACAAAAACAGGAAAAGAATGAAATAATACAGAAAAGAAAGCTTTCGCTTTATCGTGAATCCATGGCCTGATTATAATGTGCCATGCATCTATATGTACACACCAATTTTGTCTCTGACTTTGCTGCTGAAATTAAATGCAGAGCAGCCACCTGGTCACAACACACCCTGCATTATTTATATAATCTCAACACCGCAGCATTCATCCAGCCACCTCCAGCTTACACTGTAATGCCACACTAGGCCCTTTACGAGCCGGGTGATCACGAAAGCACTGCCGCAGTTCACCTCCAAAAGACCTCCGCATCCCTGCGAGCATCCATAGCAACAAACGTACACTCAGCATCTCCATTTCCCAACAATCAGACGACTGGTTACACACAGGGAAGGTCTGGCATACCGTGTACATGTCATGGTTACCACGGCTCGACAGTCTCTCTAATTGCCATATTCAGTCTGCCTCAAAAGAATGTTTTTAGAAGAAACATATCCAAAAAAATGTCTATTTCAAAATCAGGACCAAAGAAACATCTATGTTCAAATTGGATTTTCTTCATCCTCTAGATTGCTTACCAGTCAAGTCTGTGTATGCAAAGTCTAGACCGTTGGTAACAGGCAAATGTTGTTTGAAGTTTGAATTTAAATCATCCAGAAGGGAAAACTTTCCCACAAAGATACGGCCGGCTTCCTATAGAAGTCAAAAAACAACATTCTTTAGTGGAGACTTGTCGGGCCACAATGGCTTGTGTAACAATCTATGTACTTACATCATGTTTTTCTTTTCTCAGAATAAGAAAGAGGGTTCATCATGTTTAAGGCAGTCAATGATCCACAAAAGATTATCTCGTCCTGTCTTGTCAACTCTGAAGACTTACAGACCACTTTCACTTTGCCAAAAAAAAAAAACCAATAAGCTTCCTTTAGGGGATACAGAATAATTGGGCTGAGGAACGAAGAGACTTTTTAGAAAGTGGAACATAGGATGTATATGTATCAATACAAAAATTGAAGAAGAAAGTCTACTATAGTGAATATTTGTGAATCAACCAACAACTGCTTTAATTTTAATATCCATTTCTCGTATCCATCCCAACAGTAACATTTGCTTCTGGTCAACCCCTGGGTTCCAGCTAGCTTTATTATCAATTAATGCCATAATTGACCGTGTAATTAGTATTGCACCTCTGGCTCTATGGTTTAATACACATATAAAAGAGTTGACATTCAGTTGGGCTGAAAAAGAAGTAGGTCTTTGCACCGTGAAAAATGTCAACAGGAACGAATATATTATACCTGTGGGCATATGAAAGCAATCTAGACAAGCAATATCACCAGCCTTCTCAAAAAAATTTAGAGTAGGTGGCTGATAAGAAAAAGTAGCAGGCGAGCCACGAAGTGGCTCGAAGCGAGCCGCGCAGCGGGGGGAGGGTACGGGAGGGGGGTGGCCCCCCGTCCCGGTTGGGGGGGGTCCGGGGGCCGTCCCCCGGGAGGAAATTGTAAAAATTAGACCCCCTAAACATCGTTTTTGGTACATTCTGAGCAGCTTTTATGGCAATCTTATGGTTCCAAAATTTACGGTTCGTGCACAAATAATTCCGGAAAAAGGCTGTATTAAAAAATTGTTTGCCACTCCGATCGTATTACGCGCGGTCCTTGTGCCCGGCTACAAAATGCGGGAAAATAAAAAAAAGCATATTTAAATGTCAATTTGATCGAAAACATAATCATTGGGATCTGAAAAAATGTCACAGGTTCGCTTTTTGGAAGTTTTGTTTCTGTTTTGACGGTTTAATTCTAGCGGGGTGCGCTCCATAAATGTCCGATAGAATTCACCCCGCGTCCCGGTACACTGACTTCCGGGTCCTTGAACAGGAATATTACGAGAAAAAGGCCAAAAAATCGGCGTAGAGAAATATATATCTTCCCGAAAATTCTTTAATTATGCATTTCTTTAATAGGATGTTGCTAAGTAGTCGTAGAAAAAACGTAGAGAAAGCAGCGTCGAGTGTCTCTCTTCTGCATCGACGAAGAAAAATTCTTCCCGCGCTGCCTGCTGCTGGCTATATCGCTTATCCAATCAGAACGCAGGTCATGTGAGGTGAACCTCGATCTCACCAATCAGAGCGTCGATCGCGCTGTGCTACTTACTTATTCATGACAAGATGGCGCCCGAAAGCTCCTGTTTTTGTACA